TGCACTTTCTAACCCTGTGACCTTGGGCAAATGTAATGAGCTTTCTCGCGCCTCAGTTTTCAGCTCTGTAAAATGGGGTTAGCATTCATGCCGAGCTCACTGGATGTTGCGAGGCTTTGCTGAGCTCATGCAGGTGAGCACCGTCCCTGGCACAGTGGGAAGGGTGCACTGACGGTTGCTGGCTTCACGGCAACCCTCCAGACAGTGACAAAGTGGATCCAGATGGGCTAAGGAGGTCTGCCTGAGTCAGAAGAGAGTGGGGGGTGGTCTCTGGAAACAGATCATCTAACTTTCACTTTCACCTTTGCCACTTGAGCCGGGTCCCTTCTCCTCGCTTAAAACCCTGCAGTTTCCTCCTCTGTAAAACGAAGAGGCATGACTACATTCGCCCTCCAAGTCTGAGGGTCCGGAAAGTGGTTCTCAGACTCTGGAGTATACCTGAATCACCCACAGAACTTGTTAAAACGCAGGTTGCTGAGCCCCGTCCCGAGACTGTCTGGTTCCCTAGGTCCAGGGTGGGGTCCAAGGTTTGCATCTCTACCAAGTTCCGCGGTGATGCTGATGCTGTTGGCGTGGAGACTTTGAGAACCACTGGTTTGGACAGCTGCAGAATCAATACTCTCAGTGAGACTGGAGGCCATCCAACCTCCGAGGGGCAGGGCCAGTGAGGGTTCTTGGCCAAAGGGTCTAAGAGGAGCAAGCCATGATAAGGCCTGGGAGAATTTTCTCTCCCAGCTCCACCCAAAACTTGCAAGGAAAAGCCAAGCCCACTCTGGAGCACAGGTTCCTTCTCCCCAGGGCAGGGCTGTGGCAGTTGCATCAGGGCCCTGGAGGAGATGCTCCTGGATGGAAAGAACTGGTAATCAGGCCCTTGGGCAAATGGAGAGGCTGGAGCCTAAGCCCGGGGTGGTGGGGGTGGGGGACACTCAGGGGTCTCCCTCCGCTGTGAGCTGCTGGCAGGGTGGGGGCCCAATGCTGGGGCTGATGGCTAGCTCCCCCAACTGTGGTTGTTTCTAACTAACAAAAGAAGCTCACATTCGTTGTTGACATTGGGAAAAATAGAACAAGGAAAATAAAATGGTCGTATTAACATTTTGAGATAATGTCTACTGGTTTAAAACAAAACAAAACAAAAAAAAGATGTTTTAAGTACCCCCACCCCCAACACGGGCCTTGGACTCATGACTCCGAGATCAAGAGTCGCATGCTCTACTGACTGAGTCAGCCAGGTGCCTCTACAAAATTTTTAATCTCTTATTTCTTAAAGCTGAATAGTGGCTCCTTTAGTGTTTATTTGATCATACATTTTTATTTTTATTAAAAAAAATTTTTTTTAATGTTTATTCATTTTTGGGAGAGAGAGAGAGGCAGAGAGACAGAGTGTGAGTGGGGAAGAACCACAGAGAGGGAGGGAGGCACAGAATCGGAAGCAGGAGCTGTCAGCGCAGAGCCCAACGTGGGGCTTGAACTCATAAACCACGAGATCATGACCTGAGCCGAAGTCGGACACTTAACTGACTGACCCACCCAGGCGCCGCCTGTTTTTAACTTTTTGAGGAACCTCCATACTGTTTTCCAGAGTGACTGCACCACTTTGCATTCCCACCAACAGCGCAAAAGAGATTCTCTTTCTCTGCATCCTCGCCAACACCTGCTGTTGCCAAGGTTATTAATTTTAGCCATTCTGACTGTGTGAGGTGGTATCTCAGTGTGGTTTTGATTTGTATTTCTCTGATGATGAGTGATGCTAAGCCTTTTTTCATGTATGTTAGCCATCTGGATGGATGTCTTCTTTTGAAAATTGTCTATTCATGTCTTTTGCCCATTTCTTCACTGGATTATTTGTTTTCTGGGTTAATTCATTTTTGAGAGAGAGTGTGGGTGGGGGAGGGGCGGAGGGGGGCAGAAGATCCAAAGCAGGCTCTGTGCTGAGAACAGCGTGCCCCATGAGAGATCACCTGAGCCAAAGTCAGATGCTCAACCTACTGAGGAACCCAGGCACCCCTGGGTATTGCCCTTAAAAAAAAAGTGGTCAGGGGCGCCTAGAT